TGTCTTGGGCTTCAGCATCACAGTGATAGGTATTGTGACAGGAATAATGATTCCCCAGACCATGATCCCATCTAGCCCCAGACTATGAGCTACAGCAATCCAAACCTGGATCTAAAAGTCTCCTGACTATTACGACAAAAAGAATCTTGATTTTTCAATGTACTGTATTTTTCAGTCATTTATATTATTTTCGGCAATTCTGGGACTACTCTTGACAAATGCAAAGTTAAAACTTTCATTGGTCTTGCTCATATCTTCTGCAACTCACCCAGCGTGACAGGGAAATCTGTAACTATGGCTGAGACCAACAAATAAGCAAGCAAGCAAACAAATAACATCCCTTTCTTACTGCCCTTGTCAATATGAAAATGAGTGATGATCAGGATCCTGAACTCAAAGTCTAACTACTTGTCAGTTACAAGATATAGAGGAAAATTTACTTTGAATCCACCCTAAAACACAGGAAGAATTGCATGGCATTTGTGATTTTGATGAGAATGAAAATGCAGTCCAAGTTACCCTGAAAATTTGTAATATAGACTTAATCCATATTTAAACCTCTCTGTTTGACCTCCCATATTTATTTCCTCTTCTGGATTCAATAGATTGCTGGAGCCAGAGGAGGGTCTGAAGATCATCTGTTGTCATCCAGGTTTTTTACCCTATAAATGGGGATCTAGACTGGTGACCTACCCAAGGGCCCTCAGCTGGATTAGGGACAGAGCTAAGACTGCAAGCTGGATCCCTAGACTTCTGGGCCAGGGGTCTTCCTGCCACACCCTGATTTGGTGACACTGAGGGAAAGCAAGCTGTTTTTGTGGAAGCTACAAACATTTTGGCTTAAGGTCTCTTGTTAAGGTCATTCAGATGTTAGGGATGATTGGAGTCCTCACCCCTAGGACCAGGAACCACAACTAGAGAACTGTTATCTTGAAAAGTCTTAGAGGTAGACCACTGTTTGGGAGGTTGATGGAACTCAGGGGACTGGACACAGGGCTTCATTTGTATAGCAAGAATACTTTCTTTTAAAAAGATGTATTTATTTATTTTTGAGAGAGAGAGAGAGAGAGAGAGAGCAAGAAGGACAGAGGGAGAGGAAGAGAGAATCTCAAGCAGACTCCAGGCTAAGTGTGGGGCCTGAGTTCAGAGGCTGATGTGGGGCTCTATCCCATGACCCCAAGATCTCAACTTGAGCTGAAACCAAGATTCAGATACTTAACTGACTTCAACAAGGTGCCCCAAGGACATTTTTAAAGAGATTTTATTTCTTCATTTAGAGAGACAGAGATGTGTGCCTGGGCGGCTCAGTTGGTTAAACATCTGTCTTTGGCTCAGGTCATGATCCCAGGATCCTGGGATCAAGTCCTACATCAGGATCCCTAATCACCATGAAGTCTGCTTTTTCTATTGCCCCTCCCCACTGCTCATGCTCTCTCTTTCTCAAATAAATAAAATCTTAAAATAGTAGTAGTAGGAGGAGGAGGAGGAGGAGTAATAAAAATAATAATAATAATTTTTTTAAAACTAGAGAGAGAGCATGAGCGGGAGGTGGGGGGTGGGTGGCTGAGGGAGAGGGAGAGAGAGAATGACAAGCAGACTCCATGCCAAGTGCACAGTCTGATGCCAGGCTTGATCCCATGACCCTGAGATCATGAGCAGAGCCAAAATCAAGAGTCAGATGCTCAACAGACTGAGTCACCCAGATGCCATGAGAAAGGATGTTTTTTTGCATATAGATTATATTGTTACTTTGGGAAAACAGGGGGTCTGATAGAGATTATAGCAGATGACTCATCCCTCCAAGTTCCTCCTGGCACCATCAGTACACCCCACATGTACAGTCACTGTTAGCACCCTTGGGAGGAGATGGGGAATCATTCATTCTGTAAATTACTTTTCAATGTCAAAATTTTCCTCAGACCCTTATATGATAGCATCCACACTTAACCGTTCATTGGGTTTTAGGTTATTAATTAAAAGTTAAGCTTTGGAATGCAACAAACCTGGGTGCAGACCTAGGCTATGCCCCTTACTACTGTTCTGCCAGGCCTACTATAGAAACTCAATGCATGTTATTGGTGAAGATATAAAGTGACAGCCTGTGAATTCAGTTGATTCATATTTGTATTTAAAAATTACAACAGCATCAGGGTGCCTGGGTGACTCAGTTGGTGAAGCATCTGTTTTCAGCTTAGGTCATGATCTCAGGGTTGTGAGATAGAGCCCCATGTTGGGGCTGTGTGCTAGGCATGGAGACTACTTAAGATTCTCTTTCTCTCTCCATCTGCCTTCCTTACCCTTCACTCTTTCTCTCTCCCCTCTCAAAAAAAAATTACTACAACATCTACAGACAAATGACTGCTAAATATCTGCAACTGGAGTGATTTATTCAGATCACAGACAATGTTTTGTGTGCAAATTGATTGATTTGAACCTGTTGTAATAATTACTCTGCAGGGTCATCAGTCCATAGCACTAGTATCTTGGACATAGTAGGAAAGCATGGATTTTGGAATCTTATAGACCTGGGCTCAAATCCCAGCTTTGCCATGTCCTGACTGTGCCATCTTTGACAAGTTGCTTAATTTCTCTGAGTCTCAGTTTCCTCATCTCTAAAATAGGGATAATACCTATCTTACAGAGTTGTTGGAGGATTGAATGATATATGTACATAGGAACCTGATGTATGATGGGTGTCAAATAAATGTTTATTTGTATTCTCACAATTTGAAGAAAACTTAATAAGATCCACATCAGTTTGAAGGCATTTACTTAAATTACAGAGGGCCTGGACATTAAGAGCTTCATACCTAGAAGGACTTGTAGCCCCACTATGTGAAAACAGGGAGAGGGATAAAATAGGCTTCCAATGTTTTAACAGTACTTCTAATGTTTTGTTTTTACTTTTGTTCTATTGGAACATCTACCTAGAATCTTTTACATACTTTTCATTCTTCCTTTATTCCTTCTTCTTCCTTTCTTCTTTCTCCCACCTTGTCCTGCAGGGGAGCAGGGGTGTGGGGGGGAGGGTGGGTGGGGAGGGTAATGAGCACAATGTCAATGTAATGTTGCCACTGTAACTGGTGATGGCCCATGTTTTCCTGAGGACCATGCTGGAGAAGCTGGACTCATGTAAAACCCCTTATTAAAGAGTAGCCCTGACTGCAAGCATTGATGGTGGTAGAGCCAGCCCCTGCCATGAATAATTTTCATGATAGTCAAGGCAGGAACCATCATTGGTTCAGAATATCCCCACCCTTCTTCCCTGGAATGGAAGGCTGGAGGACACTTAAAGGGAAATCTATTCTACAAACAGGAAGGCAGGCAGGGCAGAAGTGAATACAATGAGGTAGTGCAGAGATCAGCTTCATGAGGGCATGATCTCCTAGAAGCTGTGGTTTATTCATGGTCAGGGAACCTAGCAAGTTGTTTACTTAGGGCCTTCATCTTCATCACCTCCTGCTCAGTCTCTCTCATACCTGTGTTCACCTGGTGGATTTATGGAAGGATTGTGTACAGTCTTAGAAACTTCTGACACTTGTAGTAGGATCTGTGTTAGATTTCTTCCCCTTTGGAAAATGTGCTTGCCTATTTCAAGAATGTCCTTTCCATTTCTTATTCCCAGGACTGCACAATGTGCTTTATCTCTTCTTTGGGACATAAGTGTGAAGAGAGAGACACTCCATCCTTGAAAAAATGTTCATCCACGGCCGAATCTTTTTTTCCCATTTCCTCAGATAGTTTGGGAAACTAGTGCTACTCTCTGGCTTTGTACTGATCTCCCAGAGCAGGTGGGCACTCTTGGCTCTATTTGTCAGAGTATAATTGGAACAAGGAACCATGTGACTTATTGGTATGCAGATCATGCCATGAATGACAATGGAATGAGGAACAAAGAGCAGGAGGCTCAGCCTTCAGGCGAACAACCAATCTGGGAATGAGAGCTGCTCATATTTTCTGTTTATATTTTTAATGCTAATTATCTATTTCTTGTTCTCAAATTTAGAAGCTGTTGACCCAGCTCAATTTTAGATACCCAGAAACTATCCACCAAATATATGCCTCCAATATAACTTGGGGGTTCATTAGATTAATTAATTAATAGTGGTTAATAAATGCTTTGAAATATTTTTATTAAAAGGGCCACCTAAGTACAAAGTGTCATTATAATCAGGTCTAATGAGGTCAGTGGTTTAAAGAGAGGGTTTTAAAACCATATATAAAGCTCCTCCAACCATCAGTGGTACAGGATGAAGGTAAGAAGAGGCAGGTAAGTCTACGTACTGGCATTTAGAATCTCCTCCACAGGGGCAGAGCCACATTGAAGTTTACTTGGATTGAAGCAAGGTAATCATAAATCTACCAACTAATGGGTTCTCAAATTGTTTAACTCTTCTCTTAGGACAAAAGCCACTGCTTTGTTAAAGCCTGGCGTGCAGGGTAGTGCTGAAGACGGGGGACTTTCCTAAACAGAGGGGAGAGACTTTCTCTGCAAGGTCACAAACCAGGTTAGTGCTCACCTTCTTGTATTACGTAGAACAATTAAGTTGTCTTTTGAATGAAAACAAAGATAGAGTTGATGGAGGAAGTACAGAGGAGCACAGCAAACCTCTTCTGAGCCATAATCTCTGATGCTCCTCTCAGTGGCTTATCTTGGTTTTCTAAAAAGACTACAGTAGAAGAATGGGAACAAAATTGTGATATGAGCAAGACTGGAGAAAGGATGAGCATATGTGTTAGTCTAACATATTTAAGATATTTGTAGGCTCATGTCAATATGAAATTGGATTAAAATGAGTTGGAAGATTATACTTAGGAAAGAGTGATCCAATGAATCATAATACTGAGCCTATGAGACTAACATCTTGGAACTGGCAAAAAGGTATCATACTGGAAATGATTCTATACTTTCTTTTAGTTAAAACACATTTCCTTCAGGAAACGTTTAAGTTTTAAAATTAACCAGTTTCTCTTTCAAATTATAATAGGAGCTGTAGGATAAGATTCACAACCATGCTGTCCTCTATCCTGTTTTGGGGACTTATTGCCCTCATTGGTAAGTCATTGATTGACATTTAGCATCTTTTGCAGGGTGTCTACAAAAACGTGTAACATAGTCATGAATCAGAAAAAGCAATGATTACATGTAATCATTAGGGCTATCCTAATCAGCCTGGCCATCAATCAGCTGCTGACATCTATAATTAACAGTGTATTCTGCTTGCCAAGCAGGTAAAGGCACTATTATTGGGAATTTATGGAACAGTGCCTTTGGAGGCAAGACATTAGAAGACATTTGGAGGCAAGACATTATTAATACCAGGCAGTAAATAAGAGTTAAATGAGTATAGACAGAAAAAGACTTTAGTCTGGGAGGAGTTTAGGATAAAGAGTTCACATCTAGTTAGGATGTTGAGACCAGAAAGTGGAGGATGTAATACCTGAAGAATGTTTGGTATTATTTGATAAGAGAAGAAAAGAGTCTGCTGGATGGGTAGAATGCCTTTTGTATAGGGAGGCAGAAAGGCATGAAGAGTATTGGGAGGGGGAACCTGGGTGGCTCAGTGGGTTAAGCCTCTGCCTTCGGCTCAGTTCATGATCTCAGGGTCCTGGGATCAAGTCCCCCATCGGGCTCTCTGCTCAGTGGGGAGCCTGCTTCCTCCTCTCTCTCTCTCTGCCTGCCTCTCTGCCTACTTGTGATCTCTCTCTCTGTGTGAAATAAAGAAATAAAATCTTTTAAAAAAGAGTATTGGGAGTACAGTAAATAGATCAGTGCAACAATACAGAAGTGAGGATTTCTGAGGGTAAGGCTAGAAAAGTAGGCTGGTGAGATGCTGAGGGACTTTGAATAAGAAAAGATTGAAAATTTGGCTTAGGAAAAATGAGAAGCCATTGAAAACAATGTTCAAGTTGTCTTTATGAATAGAGTGAAGATTGAGAAGAAAGTGTTTCTATAATGTTTAATTCTAAATTTGAAAAAGTGAGGTTACAGAAAACTGATAATTTCTGATTATTTATATGGTCAAAGGCAGAGGAACATAGTTTTAAATTTTTATTCCTTCTTTAATTTCCAGGTAGGAGCAGAGTTATATAGCAAGTAGGCTAATTATGAGCTACTCTACTACCTATGTTTAACTGAAAGGGGACTGTAATTAAGAAGGACCTGTGTGTTTATGATGTCGACACAAGTAGTGTAAAGTTCATGGTCATATTCTAATCCCCTTAAATCAAACTTAGGTATGTAAGCTGGGAATCCCGGTTAACGTACGCCTTATACCTAAAGACTCTGGTTCAATAGACCTGGTATGAGGAGTCCAGAAATATGCATTTTTAATAGGCATCCAGATCACATTGATAACTGTGGTCTGTGGGCTACACATGGAACATAGCAAAGGCCATCTCTCCAGTAAAAAGAAATTGACACTTTTTTTTTCAAGATTTTATTTATTTGTCAGAGAGAGACACGAGCAGTGGGGAGCAGACAGAGGGAGAAGCAGGGTCCTCGCCAAGCAAGGAGCCCAATGTGGCACTTGATCCCAGACCTGAGCCGAAGGTAGATGCTTAACTGACTGAGCCACCAGGTATCTCAAATGTAAACTTTTGACATATGGGCTTGATCCAGATAACTTAGATAATTCCTTTACTTCTCATTCATTCATCAATCTATCCATCCATCCTTCCGATATCCATTCACAAATATTTATTGAATGTCCACTTTGTGGGATGCCTAGGTGGCTCAGTTGGTTGAGTGTCTGCCTTCAGCTTGGGTCATGATCCTGGGGTCCTGGGATCAAGTCCCACATCAGGCTCCTCACTTGGTGGGGAGTCTGCCTCTCCCTCTGCCCCTGCTCTCTCTCTCTCTAATAAATAAATAAAATCTTAAAAAAAAAAAAAAAGAATGTCCTCTTTGTCCCAGGCACTATTCTAGGTGCTGAGGAGGAGATAGGATAAGGAAAAAAGTATTCTAGTGAGAGGAATAGATAGAAAAAAAGAGAGGAAGAAATATAAGAAGGAAGGAAGGAAGACATGTCAGGTGGTGACAGATGATGTAAATAAAATAATGTAAGGTAATGAATGATAAGGAATGAGGCATGAGTGTGTTGCCTTTTTAATGTAGGTAGAAAAAAAGACTCTTTAATAAGCTAATTAAAAAATTTGTTGTAGAATGTTTCAAACACATAAAATGGGGGAGGCAACAGTATAACTCCCATGTACCGTCATCAAACATCTATGGTTTTCAACATTTTGCTTTCTTATTTTATCTATCCCTCATCTCTTCATTTTTTGGGAGGGGAGGAGGTTAGAATATTGTAAAACAACCCAAAAGATCAAAACATTTTATCTACAAATGTTTTAGTATGTGTCTAAAATGTATAAGGACCAGCTCTGGTACAAGAAGATGTTCCTGGCTCACCTGAAACATTTCCTGCCCCAGACCAGAAATGAGACTTTTTCTGAAATGCACTGATTCCTCCGAGTGGGAAATAGTATTTAGAGACCACAGTATAAGTCCCAGGGGTGCTCCATTGCTATGGGGTGTAATTTCTTCCAAAACTTTTCAGTGGGGAGAACTTAGATAGTATATATATTTTTTAAAAAGAGAAAAATAATTATGTATTCATACTGATATTCCATATTAATATTTATGAATACAAAGGATTTACTAAAAATCCTGGCTCCTAATAACATTAACATGATTAGTTATTTACCTATATTAGTTTCAAAATAACTATGGCAGTATTACCAACCCACGATGATCCTGTGCATATAGTTTAAGATTTACTTATGATTCTTCATGTTTATAGGATGCATTCCACTAGTGGTATATATTTACACTGACTTGTTTTTAAGTAGCCAGAAATAATCCTCCTCTATGTGTTAATTAAATTTTTAATTTGATATAATGTTAGATTTGTCTTTTACTTTTTAGGATTTTTTCTATTCAATTTAAAATTTTAAATTATAGAAATATTTATATGGCTCCAAAATAAAAACTATAAAAAAGGTACATTTAGAAAAGTCTCGCCTCTCTCCCTGTCCCTTTTACCTCTTCTTATCTTGCCCCACAACTAACAATATTTATTAGTTTTTGGTTCATCTTTGTATTATTTCTTTTGAATATATAGGGAAATTTCTCTCTCACACACACATACATAAACACATACAATCATATTTTCTCCTTTTTTCAAACAAAGAATATAATTCTAGAAATATTATTCTGTACCTGGAAATATGTTATAGAATGTTATAGAATCATATATCTATACAGTTCTTCCTCTTTCCTTTCTGCAACTGGCATAGTAATCTGTGTGTGGAAGTGGCTTAGCTTACTCAGTCCCTATATGGATGACACGTGCATTGTTCCCAGACATTTCCTGCTATAAATAGTGCTGAAACAACAGCCTATTGCAAAATCTCCTTCCACAGTAATGTATAAGACTGCCACTTCCCCCACAGCCTCATTGTCACAATACATTGTCAAATTTTTGGATTCTTGCCAATTAAATAGGCAAAATGTAGTGTCTTGGTGATGTTTTGTTATAGTATTCTCTTTTGAGTGTGGTTGAGCACCTTTTCATACATTTAAGGATTCTTTTCTTTTTTGTTTATGAACTGTTTATTCATATCTTTCACTGATAGGTGGTCCTTGAACAGAATCCTGAAGGCAGTGAGGCAGCAAATCATGTACATACCTGGAGAAATAGCATTCTAGGCAAAAGGGTCTATAAATGTAAAGGCCTTGAGGCAGAAACCTGCCTGGGATATTGAAGGAGAAGCAAGAAAAATGTGACTGGAGAAGAGTGAGGAAAGGGAAGGGAAAGTCGGAAAGTGAGCAGAGACCAGATCAGACAGGGCTTGAAGTCCACAAATGAATGATCAGAAAACCACTGAAAGGTTAAGAGAGAAGAATGGTATGATTCCATGCATGTTTCCAGAAACCAGTCTGGGTGCTGGGGAACAGACTGCAAAGGTGGAGGAGAAAGATCGATTAGGGAGCTTTTATAATAATCAAGATGAGCAATGGTTGTAGTTTGGACCCTGGTGGTAGCAGGGGTGGTGAAAAGTGGTCATATTTTGGTTATATGTTGTCAGTCTGCACCCTCACTCACAGCTTCTACACCTCTGTCTTACATATGATCTGTGTCATGGAAATCTATCTATTCATTCACTCATGTGTATTTCCTACACGTATTGGATGCACAAAGTTCTATGCTGAGGGCCATGGAGACTGCCAATGCCATGCTCTTTGCATCACATGGAAATCCACACTACTTAGAGAAATTTAATGGCTTTGCTGATTTCTACTGGTTTTATTATATAAATAGGCTTTCTAAGTATTCTGGGTTACTTGACAGTTTCACCATCTGACTTCCTGATGCATTTATAATAGCTTTTTTTTTTTTTTTTGCCTGTTTGTAGTTGGGAGAAAGTTGATTATATCTGTATTTTCATTTGTTTTGATGAGCTTTGTTTTTAAAAAGTTAATCTTTAGAGTTGCTTTGTTTTCCTTCTAAAATCCATATTTATATGGAGTAGTTCCAATAATTGTGTGCCTAATTCTAAGATAGTCTCTTTATACTGTCAAGTTAATCAGAACTAGACCTGCAGTGAATGGGTAAAATCCATCTCTCTATTAAAGAACACCATTTACAACACTAAGTGAAACGATGTAGTATTTTACATCAAATATTTTAACAAATATATTTCTTATAACAAGTATTTGTAGTCTTAAGATATAAGTCAACAGTTCCAGGAGCTATTAGAACAAATTTTTCAATTTACAGAAAAGCTCTTTATCTCCTTTAGTAAATAGACTTGGACAGTAAGTCACTTCATAAGGACAAAATAAAAAAATAAGAATAGGATTTAACTTAAGTTTTTATGGTAGGTTGAATTTTATTTCCAATTTTACTAATTATACTTAGAAGCTCAACTTCACAGAAACATGATATAAAATGGAATTTTAAGTTAATGGTACCCTTCTTTTTTAACTTAAGTGGTATTAGTACCCTTCTTTCTTATTTTCTTAAAGGCAATTGTTAATCCAGATGTTTACATCCCCAGATGTGGAAGTGGTAGAAGTGTCTTAAAATTTCTCTCAGAGTTCTTGCTTAAAACTCTAGTGGCAATTTTAATTCTGATCAAGATTGCAGCAAATGTTTTTGAGACCTATAAAAATTGGTTCTCATAATACTTTTTACAATGTTTAGAATTAAGTACTTCTTTAAAAATTTTGGGGGGTTCCTGGCTGATTCAGTCAGTAGAGCATGTGAGTCTTTTTTTTTTTTTAACTGATACCTGATTTTTTAGTGTCTTTTTATTATTTATTTATTTATTTATTTGTCAGAGAGAGAGAGAGAGAGAGAGAGTGAGAGAGAGCATAGGCAGACAGAGTGGCAGGCAGAGGGAGAAGCAGGCTCCCTGTCGAGCAAGGAGCCCGATGTGGGACTCATCCCAGGATGCTGGGATCATGACCCAAGCTGAAGGCAGCCGCTTAACTGACTGAGCCACCCCGGCATCCCGAGCAGGTGACACTTGATCTCCAGGTCATGAGTTTAAGCCCCATGATGGGTGTGGAGATTGCTTTAAAAAAAATTTTTTTTAAGGTTGGAGAAAATGGGTTGGGGGAATCTTCTGTTCTGTGTTGTCCGATGAGCTATCCTAAGGGTCTTCAAGAGCATGTTAGGAAAGAGTATGACTTCACCTTGGTGAGCCTTCACCTTGGTTTAGTAATGCTCGTTATAGCAACTTGAGCAATATTTCTCACAAGTTTCCTGAGAATTATCATTCTCTCCCCGTAGGCACTTCTAGGGGCTCGTACCCCTTCACTCACTCAATGAACCCTCACCTGCATCCCCGCTTGTACCATGGCTGCTATGGTGATATCATGACCATGGAGACCTCTGGTGCCACCTGTGATATAACCAGGTTGATGAACTGTGGTAAGTGAAAAGCAAAGCAAATATTTGGCTTTCCCCCTTTCATCATTTTCATATTCTCCCTTTCATCATTTTCATATTCTTTTTTAGGAGGTAGCTTAATTTTGAAAAGGTATAATTGCTGTTATAGCAAAAGATCAAAGTTAAAAATTAGAAGTAAGGGGTGCCTGGGTGGTTCAGTGGATTAAAGCCTCTGCCTTCAGCTCAGGTCATGATCCCAGGGTCCTGAGATCAAGCCCCGCATTGGGCTCTCTGCTCAGCAGGGAGCCCACTTCCCTCTCTCTCTCTCTGCCTGCCTCTCTGCCTACTTGTGATCTCTGTCTGTCAAATAAATAAATAAAATCTTTAAAAAAAAATAAAATAAAATTAGAAGTAAGCAGAATCTTGACAAACCTAGCAAACTACTTCTACTCATTTTCCCTCAGTCTTTCCAAACCTTACCCAAATTTGTTTATTTCTACATAATTAAATGATTGCTCACATAAAATATTAAATTCTGCCTTTATTTTTTGTTTGTTGTGTTTACTTCATGTTATAGCATGAGCTTTTTAAGAGAGCCTCTTGCTCTTTGTACATCCTCTCTTTTGTAATCCTGTTCCAAAGTCTTCTTCATGTTATCCCAGTATTAGAACATCAGCGCTGGAAGCAACTACAAGGTCAATCTAATCCTACCTTCCCAATTTATAGATCTGAAAACTGAGGCTCAGCAAGAAGAGACTTCTCATGGGCCTGGAGCTAGGTAGTAGCAGAACCAAACTCAAATTTAGGTTGGCTGACTTCTAGTTCAAGAGTCTTCCCAAGGCACCAATGTGGCAGGTAACAGAAGAACAAGAAAGAGAGCAGAAGTGGTACTGCCTGGGGTTGTGGACCTTTCTGGGTTTATGCAATTAGAGATTAAAAAAATGTCCTAGAATAGTTGTCCCAAGCTGTGGGCTGTGGTCGGGGGCTGTGATTGACTTACTAAACTTTGAAAAAGTGTTCTCTTCTGGAGTAAACAGTTTATTTTCTATTGACTTAGGGATCCGTGGTTCTGAAATGTTTGCTGAGATGGATTTGAGGACCTTAAAACCTTACCAGATTCTGATCAAAGAAGTTGGGCTGAGGTACTGTGTGGACCCTGCTCTCATTGCAGCCATCATCTCCAGAGAAAGCCATGGTGGAGCTGTCTTGCAAGATGGCTGGGACCACAGGGGACTTAAATTTGGCTTGATGCAGGTACTTGGCAAGAAAATTTCAGTCAGCCCCACTTCATCCTTCCTTATGGAAGCTCAAACCAAACTAGATGTCCATTAGTAGTACTTTCAGGCTTCAAAACACCCTGGTATTTCAGATAATTTGTACTTCTGTATTTCTGTAACATGTCTTTGGTATTTAAATCCAGATTTAGCAGTTTTTGGGTATCTTCAGAAAAAGTATTTTATCAGTTTTAAAACTACAATTTGCAATTAATAATATGCAATGCACTTAAATTGAGAAAATCTTACAGAGGGCACTGATTAGAGGTGTACATTTGGGGTTCATAAAATAGTGAATTTTATCTATAGATCAAAACACTATAATTAAGCTCTACTTGAATCAAACGGTTCTTTAGGTAAATTGGAGGAAGGGGATCCAAATTATCTGGATGTTTGAATTTTTATTTTAAATTGTCTGTGGAGATCTAAGCTTTGAACTATCTCAATTAGAAATGAATTTTTATTTTTGACTGCAAATGTCTAGTCACTGAATGCTAATTATTTGTTTTGAAACATTTTCATATATGTATATTCAAGAGTTTAATGAAAACTATGCCACACCCATATCTCCCAAATCATACTTTGTTTATCTGACTCTATCTGACTCTCTTTTCTGTAAGAGAAGGTAGAATTGATTCTGTGGATAAAGTAAGGGGGCCAAGGCCAGTGGATCTGCACTTGAACACAAGGAATAGAAATCAGGAATTGTAGAAAAATGTGCAGCTTCATCCAGATGCTGACGTTATTATCTGATTTTTCTAGCTTGATAAAAAAATTCATCACCCTGTTGGTACCTGGGACAGCAAAGAACACCTTTTGCAGGGTGTTGGAATTCTAGCAGACAAAATTAAGGCAATCCAGAAAAAATTCCCCACGTGGAGTGTGGCTCAACACCTGAAAGGTAGGTCATGTTTGTGGAGCTTTGTTTAAAAGAGCAGTGCGTGAGACCCCTGAAGGCCAGATGTGCTCTGGGCCTCCCTGGGAGTATTCCCAAGGGGTCAGCAGTGGGGCTGGACAGAACTGCCAAAAGGCTGCACTAATGCTTTCTGAACAACTGAGTTACTTTGAGGGGTCTTCCTCCCCAACTTCCATTTTCCCTCCTGCCAGATGTTGGTGTTCATATCATATCTCTCATCAGTTAATGCAAAAACTATTGCAAAAAGAATGTTTGCCTTCCTCTGATAGTTTTTTTCCTAACGCAAGAAATCAATCACTTTCTTTGTTTGAACAAATGTTTACTCTGAGCTGTGATACTAGGGCTTTCAGTATCATATCTAAGTGGAGATCTCTGCTTGGCTGATCACAGACCTCAAGTTCAGCATCATCCAGATTGAATTAAGTCACTAGCCTCCCACCATAAACTTGCTCTTTCTTCTGTTTTTCTGTCTCTTCTCTTTTTTCTGTCTCTGTGAATTGCACCATAATATGTCTAGTCATTCCAGCCAGAAAACCAGATTTTTTTTTTAGGTTCTCTGGTTCATTCTGTTTTCATATCCAACCACATCAAGTCCTATTAAGTGTACCTCTTACAGACCCATGGTGTGCATATAACTTTCTCCTCTCACATTTACTGTCCTTAATTTAGAATAAACAATTTCTGTTTTCAGTTTCAAGGTCCTCGAAATCAGGGATCAGGATAAGGGGTCTTTTTCTCTATATATCAGAGTAAAGCACAGTCATGTAAACACATAAATAACTATTGAAGATTAAAATTTTGAGGTAAAATCACATACACACATGCATACACACACATATCCCTACAAAAAAATGATTATGTCTTGGGTACCATTATGTACCCTGCACTTGTGTGGCACCCATCCTGGCACATAGTAGGTACATAAAAACATTTATTGAATGACTGAATGAGGCAGTGAATAAATGAGTAAATTTTTAAAAAAATGAGTAAGTTATTTAATGACTGGGAGAATGCTATAACCATTCTCAGACTGAAGATTTGCTGGGGATCAAGTTTTGCCAGGCCTGGACTATATTAGAAGCAAATATGGATTTTGCAGGAAGAAAAACAAAAGTCTTTTAAAAGGAGAGAGAAGGAAAACAATCTGGAATTTTCCCAGAGATTCTTGAGGTGGTTGAACTTTTCAGGAAAGGACGGAGGGGGAAGGAGAATTTGGGACTGCCTGCTTTGAAAAACTTGCCTAGAGGGCTGACATCCTGGGAATGCTCATTTCTTATTTCTGCTGAAAGTTAATATTTCAATCTGAATCTCTATTTCATTTCAGGTGGTCTCTCAGCCTTTAAGTCAGGAATCGATACCATTGTCACCCCAACAGACATAGACAATGACTTGGTCAATGATCTTCTTGCCCGAGCTAAATTCTATAGAAGACATGGCTTCTAAGCAAAGCTCTGTTGACAGGTGTTCGGATGGCCCCTCTTTGTGAGTTTGATATGGATGTGTTGTAGCCAACACAAAGAAATGTTTGCACTTATGACAGAAAATTCAGTTTTCTTAAGGCAAATAAGCATCAAAAAGAGAAAAAGAAAAGGAAATCCACCCAGTTCATAATATGATTTCCATAAAATGTTTACAGACATATATGCACAATTATTTTATAGTAAATGTGAATATCATGGTAAGTGACATCTACATATTTCAATGAGACCCTATTTTATTCCATGATTTCAATGCCTGCTGACTCCTGTTTTACCAAATTGCTAACAGGAGAGTCTGACCTGAGCCTTTGTCCTTTTCCAAGTATTTGTCCAAGCCACCAGGGCTTTGATTGTGAGATATGCTTAACTCATAAGCTAGTCAACCTGTGGGACAATGAGATGGAATTCTAGCTTCACAAGTAACAGAGCTGACTGTGGTGAAACTGATCTTCCAAAAGTGAATGCCATGTCCCTGGCTCACACCAACCTTCTGTGTCGTCTTCCTCTTGTTTGCTGAAGATCCAGGGAATTGCTTCTTCTATTTTCAGGAATTTCTGCCACACACTTGTTCAAGGAGTCCACTCCCCACAAAACATGGCTGAAGATAAGCATATAGGACCTGAATGAGTTTATGGTTCTTTAATTGCAAGCAAATGTAGCTAGTTCTGGAAAGTCGAAGGAATAAAAGGCAATTATGAGAAGGCTATCAAAAGACTCACAGAAACAACAAGGTCAAAGACATGAAGAGAAACCAGGCAACTCTGTGCAGCAGGAACCAGTTGACCATACTTGATAGCATCCTCAATGCATGAATGAATTAGCACTCTCCTTGCATAAATGTACTCCAGAGAGCTTTTCTTCCATCCTTTCATCATTCTGCTTCACTTTCGTTGTTCCAGGAGAGAGACTCTGATGGACTTATCTTGGGTCAAATACATACCTACGCCTTGGCTACTCTGCTCTTTGGTCTTGCCCAGAGTACTCACAATGGAAAAAAGTTCCCTAGAATGAAAAACCTGGTGCAGTTTGTGGCTTTACTACCATCCTCAGGAGAGGGCACAAATAATAATGTTGGAGCATAAAACCCTCAAAGTCCCTGCCGACATTTGCTCCTGCTTGGCTTTTAGCTTTTGGGGGGAATATTTGATAAAAATTTCTACCCATTACTTTTCTTTCTGAGAAGGAATCAAAATTAAACCCACCTACCTCCGAGTGCCCACAGAGAAAGCTGGGTAAACCTTCTCTGCACAACAACCTTTTAACCTAGCCTGAAGATTTGACTCAAGCTGAACTGGAACCCTGTATTACACTGGGCAGAGTCAATGGTCAGCTAGTATGGCAGCCCTGCAGAATACAGTCCATCATCTCTTATACTTGGTTGAAGACCATACTGTACCAGTTGTTAAAGATTTTGACATCCTCCCTGCATGTCGCAATCCAGAATGTTTACTTTACTTAAAGGTGATTTCCTCCAGGCTTTCCACCACAAGCATGTACTCCCCTTCAATTGCCAGCCCCTTCAATGTCACTACTAAAGCAATAAAGTACATTTAGGTGAGGAAATTTCCAAGTAACTTGAAAAACAAGAAATAGTATGCTGACTTTGATTCTGAATCAATTCCCCCAGTATTCTCTTTGTGACTTGGATACCAAGAGATGTTCTATAGCAGAGTCCATATTTAAGGTGTCTAAGGTTGATTCCTACAGAAACAGACCCTGAGACAAGGAGTCAGGTCCAGGAAGCTTATTTGAGAGGTGCAGGGACTTGGTGATACAGGGAAGGGAAGAAAGACAGCAAAATGTGGTCGTTGAACCAGCTACTGTGGTGGGCACTGGAGCTCAATCCTCCAAGCAAACATCAAGAAATGGTACAAAACAGGGGCACCTGGGTGGCTCAGTGGGTTAAAGCCTCTGTCTTCGGCTCAGGTCAAGATCCCAGGGTCCTGGGATCGAGTCCCGCATCGGGCTCCCTGCTCAGCAGAGAGCCTGCTTCTCCCCCTCCCACTCTCCCTGCTTGTGTTCCCTCTCTCGCTGTGTCTGTCAAATAAATAAATTAAAAAAAAAAAAAAGAAATGGTACAAAACATAGAGTTCAGAGTTATTTTACTAGGGAATAAGGAGCTGGGGTATTTTTACATCTACTCAAGAGTCATTGATCGGGGGATCTCCCTTTTGGGGGCTACCGGAAGGCATGTTACTTCTGTGCTCCTCTGCGCCACCAGGCAAACAGGCAGCACACTTTTCTGCAATTCCCAGGAAAAGAGATTGTAAGCACAGAAATGCAGATAATGGCAGTTGGAAATTACCTGAGAATCCAGGAATTCTTAGGGATATGGGAAAGATACTGAAAGCATCTGCTTCACAAAGGTTAGATATAGCTGGAGGCTGGGGTACCTTCCAACACTGCTTGCTTTCCTCTGTGACCTAACAATGTAGTAAGAACAATATGGAAATAAATACAAGCCTCATTATGCCTCATGGTTTCCATGCCAAGCTTTTCCATAATCTATTAGAATTACTAATTAGATATGATAGAACTGTCCCAGTCTATTTTTCCAGTTGATAAGAACAATATTAAAGATGTTAGATTCAAATTTGGCTCCATTAGATATTCTTTCAATCATCCTCAACTTTCTTTATAATTTTTTTTGCCTATGTCCTCTTCAGTGATAATGAATGGCTCTGTTTACATTCTAGTGTGTACAATGTCACTTCTTTTTGTTGTCTAAAAACTAAGCTCTCTCTGGAAAATGAAGAAAGATTGTCTTATAAATAGTTTTGAAAGCAACAACAACAACAAAAATTCTCATCCTTTCCTTTCTCGGCAATCAATACTTCACGGGACTTTAAGCATCAGTGCTAAGAACATTATTAGAGGTCACAGATATGGAAGAACTTCCTTCCCTTACTTCCTCTGCATTATGCTAAAGGAACATACATGACTAACGGTCCTAATAAGACTAACCTCGAGTATTGTGGAGACTGAAGGAAAAAGTATTTGAAAAATTACTAAGCAGTCATTGGTGGTGTTGTGATGGCAGCATCCCCAGAATGAAAGGCTTTGCAAGCAGGGTGGGGGTCATGAAGACACAGGATTCCTGGGAGAAAGGGAGCTCTGAAAGTTAAAAGACTCTAAAGGTAAAGTGACTGACTGCAGTTTTCTTCTTTGCCAGCCCCACTGGGTGGGTATACCTGTGAGGCAGCCCTTAGTTTGTCTGCCTAGTGAATACAAAAGGGAGTGGAGTTATCTCTCAGTTACTTCTTTTTAGTTGTCATCTGGATGTTTATTTGTATTCAATTTAAAATCCACTTTTTTTTAAAGATTTATTTTAGAGGGAGAGAGCATGCATGCACACAAGTGGGAGGGGCAGAGGGAGAGGGAGAGAAAAATCTCAAGCAGACTCCATGCTGAGCGTGGAGCCCAACCCGGGGCTCAATCTCACAAACCCAGAGATCACAACCTGAACCCAAACAGAGTCAGACACTTAACCAATTGCACCACCCAGGCACCCCTAAAATCCTCTCTTTAAAAAAAAAAAGCTTTTTTAGGGGCACCTGGGTGGCTCAGTTGGTTAAGCAACTGCATTCAGCTCAGGTCATGGTCCTGGAGTTCCGGGATGGAGTCCCATATTGGTCTCCTTGCTGGCCAGGGAGTCTGCTTCTCCCACTGACATCTCTCCTCTCGTGCTTTCTCTCTCTCTCTCTCTCAAAATAAATAAATAAAAATCTTTTAAAAAAACTTTTTAAATTATGAATCAATATACATACAGAAGAGTTTGTGTAATGACAAAACTGTTTAGCACAATACATTATTAAAAAAAGACTAGCCACAGTGTCAAAAAAGACTAGCCACAGAACAAAAGAAGGTATTTCAACAAGTACGTAAATATTTTATTGTAGTCTAATGAATCAATCTATTCTCTTTTCATGGGACCCAAAGTGATATTTTAATTGGTTTTTATAAAGTTTTTTTAAATGAAGTTTCATTAATATCTTATTCCAGGTCTCATGAAGGAAAAAAAAACCCCACTGGAAATTCAAATCCTATAATTCATATGTTAAATTATGCACTTATTGTCCTGCTTAATTTTTTTCCTGATTTTTTTCAATTTTTAAATTTTGGTAAAATACATAACACAAAATTTACCATTGTAACCATTTTTAGGTGTACAGTTCAGAGGCATTAAGTACATTCATAATGTTGTGCAATCATTGCCACCATCCATTTCTGTAACTTACTTCATCTTATAAAATCTATACTCATTAAACAATAACCCCCAACCTGCCCAGCACCTGGCAATTACCATTCTGCTTTCTGTCTCCATGATTTTGACTATTCTAAGTACCTTATATAAATATTACTTTATTCTTAATACTTCTCATGCCCCATTTAAGGAGTATTTTCCATCATCAGATTATGAAGATATTCTCTTACCTTACTTCTGAATGCCTGCTTTGTATTTCATATGTGGGTTTATACAACACTGGATTTTTGGTGTGGTGTGATTTAGAGATCCAATTTAAATATTTTTCTTTGTAGATATCTAAAATTGTCTCAAAAACACTTATTGAAAAGATCGTCTTTCCCTCACTGCCCTGCATTACCATCTCCATTTCTGATCTCTCTCTTCTGCTCATTGTTTACTTATTTCTACTAAGAAGAAACTGAGTTAGAATAGCTTAATTGTGAGTCTTGATTCCTGGTAACACAAGTCTTCTAACCTTGTTTTTCTCCTTAAATTTTTATATAAATTTTTAAATTAGCTTGTCAATTTCCAGAAAAATAACTGTTAGGATTTTTTAATTAATAAATTTTGGTTTTTTAGGGAAGTTTTAGATTCACAGAAAAACTGAGCAGAAAAAGTACCAGAGTTCCCATCTACTCCCCAATCCCACATGTGAACAGCTTCCCCCAATATCGATATCCAATACCACAGTGGTATATTTGTTATAACCAAAGAACCTAAACTGACACATTATCATCTGAAGTCCATAGTCTATATTGGGTTCATTCTTGGTGTTGTACATTTTATGGACTTTGACAAATGTATAAGGACATGTGTCCGTCATTAGAGTATCATACAAAATAGTTTCACTACCCCTAAAACTCCTATTCATCCTTCCCTCTGTCTTCCCCAGCCATTGATTATTTTACTGTCTCAATAGTTTTACCTCTTCTAGAATGTCTTAGTGTGTACATATGGTGTGTAGTCTTTTCATACT